CACACACACACACACACACATACACACGTACGCACACACGTATACACCCCCCCCCACACACACACACACATCTGTACACGCAAATATTGTAGCAAACAAAGGCACGTCTGCGTACTTTTACGCGCATTTCTATACACTCAAGCACGCAACACGTCTTTATTCTTTTACCCGCTGTCGCTCATCCATATATTTGGATAGTTGCCTGGCGCTCTGGTGCAGTTTTCCCCTTTCTTTCCTATTAAACGTACATCGTCCTTATCTGAAGTTCTGCTCTCCTTCTTTTCTTTGTATGTTGCTTTCTAGTAACCCCTCTAATCTCTGACACTTGTGTGACTTAATTGTGTCGCAAGTGCTGCACAACTATTACTATTTTAAAAAAAACCCAAACCTTTCATCCATCCCCACCTGTCCGTCGGTTCTTACATTCGTTCATTTCTGATGATTTTCCAGGAGGAACTGGATCGGCTGGCAGCGGAGATCACCCAAGGCCTCAACTACAACAAAACCAACGGGCACTACCACCATCACCACCACCACCACCACCCCCACCAGCAGCAGCACTCGGCATCCCACCACGGCCACCCGCCCGCCGCCCATCCGCCACAGCCGCCCCAGCATCACCATCACCCGCACCACCACCATCACCACCCACAACAACAACATCCGCAACAGCAGCAGCATCTCCTCACAGTCACGCCCGGGGGCGGAGGCGAAGATGGCGGCGAGACGGACTCGGCGTACTCGGACAACGCGTCACTTCCATCGTCTGAGTCGTTCACGTCAATGGCGACCGTGTCCTCGTCTGCTGACACGACCTCCTCCTCGTCCGGCGAGACGTGCAGCATGAGCAGCGCCCTGTGCGGGCCCGCGCACGCCGAGGTGAGTCAACTTACAATTAAAGAAACAAATAGTAGAAAAGAAATTAAATGGTATGGTTTGACGCTCCTATGAACACTATGGGGTTGTTTAAGTTGCGGGACCTCCGAGTTTAAAGTCCATCTCCAAAAAGACCGAGCCAAATGGGAAATTCTTGTAAAGTGCTTTTCCCAAGGACAAAACGTCGGACCGAGCTGAGGTTCGAACCCTTGAACCCCGCAATCTCACGATTACGAGTCAGATAGCCTGACCACTTGGCCATCGACGCCACATGGATAAATAGATACACCGATACATATACTATAATATACTTTAATAATGATCCCTGTTAGGGGAACATTTTATTACAACACATACATTCACGCACACACACACACACACACGCACACGCTCACGCACACACACGCACGCACGCACGCTCGTGCAAACGACTTGGGTTTGAGTAGGCCTACCGGCGGGGCGTGTTCGAATTTGGTAGCTCCGGATCTCTGTGCTCTGCTTTGGAGGGACGCGAGGCAATCCGCATTTCTCAGTTTCTGAATAAGGTTTATGTGTTGGAAAAGGCATGATCTGTTGCACTCAAGTGACGAAAATGGATGTGCAGATAAGTGGGAGGACATGGAAAAGGATAAAGAGGTTAGTGCATGAC